ACCTTGATCGAATTACATCAAAAAAACAATCTCATAATAAGACAACAGTATAATAGGAAAGAATTTTTTTGTAGAGTTCTAAATCAAACACAAGATTAATTGGGAAACAATGAACCAAACACTTGATAAAAAATAATCCCTGAATTAGCATTCGTGCATTTACTAATCCCTGCGTTATCTATGTTTGTACCAATCGACCCCTTGATTCATTAAGGGTATTTTTGTAATAACTATCATTAATCTTTAGCCTTAGGCCCCATTTGTATTCATTAAAGATTAAGATGTCCAAACCCGAATGCACATTTGAGTTGAGTTAAGATCTTGTGTTTAGGTTTGGACACTGAATGATTTAAGACTGTTTGTTTTTAAACATCTATATATATATATATATATATATAAACAATAAATATTATAATTCAAATAAAATAGTAATTAAGTTTTACATTAACAAAATATTAGAAAAACCTTCAATCTAGACATAATAAATTATTATTTGATAAATTTAAGATATTTGAAGATATAAATAAATATTTAAGTTTGATAAAAACAAAATAGAACTACCTGGACAACATATATAATTTATATTAATAAAAACAATTGTTAGAAAAAAATGTAGTCAATCATTTTTAAAAAAAAATCAACATAAATTAATCTTAAATAAAGAAGTGAAACATATTTATGCTCTACCATGTGTCTGATCATGTACTCTTTCCCTAAAATAAGTAATAAACCGGATACATTCAAATGATATTAAGCAAATATATGAAGGCAATACCACCCACTTTCAACAACACGTATTTACGGAGTTGCTTTGCATTTTAATTCAGTAAGATTTTTGTAGCAAAATTTACTAATTCTTAGTAAGCAAGCAATATGACCAAGAAATAGAGGCACTTTCCTCATGCACTTATAAATTTACTCAACTTTAAAAATGCTCTCAGGCACTTTCCTGAAATCCCTTCTGGACTTTGGGAATCTCATTCCGGTGAAACTGCTCCACCGGAAATCTCTTTTCTCCATTTCTTTTATGTTTTTTTTAGACATTCTGACCCTCACGGACAGTATGGACAACAGAATTTATTTCTGATCAAGGGGGAAGTCATACGACATCACCGAGTCGAGATCAAAAGTAGAAACATGGTATGACTGGGTAGAGAGTGGATACCAAATGAGGAGAATGATTCTGAGCAAGGGGGCTCTCATATGAATCTGTAGAAGACTTAGCAAAGCATTAAGAATCCAAGGAAACACATAAAACCTGGAAATGTAGAGACTGTCACTAATATTTCCCTGTCTTTGAAGTCCAATATGTACGACAGATTTGTATCGTTAATAACTGGTAAAGGAAGGGAGAGGGGAGTTATTAAACTACCAGAAAATGCATTCAATGAGGGGTGGGAGCTTTTAGCAGACAAAATAAATTCTTTCACTAATAAAGACCCAACCACCACAAAGGTGTTTACATACACAAGGGAGGTAGCTCATGCTACAAACAGAGAGAAAGGCAGATACAAGAAAATGCTGGGAAAAAAAAACAAATGGACGCAAAAAGAAACAAAGGCCTCCACAGAGATGATTGATGTTGCCGGGGAGGAAGTGATAAAGGCCAAAGCTCAACTGGCTGATGCAGATTTGCTAAGCAGATGCCTAGTGGGGCATTTTTCTAGTAAGGGAGATGCTCCAACCAGATCTGATGTAAGAAGATGCGCGCACCGAACCTGGAAAGGAGCTCAGGGAGTTCTAATCTATGACATGAACAGAGTAACTTTCTTGTTTGAGTTCCAATCAAGGAAGGAAGTTGAACATGTTCTGATAGGCGAATGGAGAAGACAAGGAGATCATCTAAACTAGCAGTGGTGGTCCCCAACAGCAGGGTCCTTCCCAAAGGGCCACAAGTTTGATTGGTTCTGGATTAACGTTCTAGGGCTTCCCCTCCATCTGTGGTCTAGCTCGATAATGAAGAAGATAGGAGAGAGATGTGGCAAGTGGATCGAGATGGAAGAGGAAACTGAACTAAAAAACCATCTCCGATGGGTGCAGATACCTCAGGGTAATACTGGTGGTTTTTGAGGCATGCTCAGGGTTGAGAGCAAACCGGAGAAAGAGCAGCATTTTTCCGGTCAATGAAGTGCAGGAGATACAGATTCTAGCAGATATCCTGAAATGCAAGATAGAGAAACTCCCCGCAATCTATTTAGGTATGCCATTGGGTGCCAAGCATAAAGCACTCTGCATTTGGGATGGGATAATTGAAAAGACTGAGAAAAAGCTGGCTTTGTGGAAATCACAGTACTTGTCATTGGGAGGGAGAGTTACATTAATTAACTCGGTATTGGACTGCCTACCAACATATATAATGTCTCTCTTCCCCATACCTGGAAAGTGGTTAAGATTCTAGACTAGCTAAGAAGGGGCTTTTTGTGGCAAGGGAACAAAACTGAGAAGAGCTTCAACTTGGTGAAGTGGGTTATAGTCCAACATAGCAGGAGTGTGGTGGTTTGGGAATGAGAAACCAAGAGCTTCAAAATAAAAGTCTGATCATGAAGTGGCTTTGGAGGTATAACCAAGAAGATCACGCTTTATGGAAGGAAGTAATTTTTCATATATATGGACATGAGGAACAATGGTGCACAAATGAAGCAATTACCACATATGGAGTTGGGGTTTGGAGATCCATTGGGAATCTATGGTTGATACTCAATGCCAACACAAAGGTCAAAGTTGGAAGGTGGGACAGAATCTCCTTTTGGAAAGAGAACTGGAATGATCATGGCACTGTACTTGCAATGTTAGTGTATTTTGAATGATAGTGCATTATCATGTCACACTTGTGCTAATCAACTTACTTGTAATGTTAGTCCACTATTTGAGGAGTGATTAAGGAGCCTCAAGTTAGTGATGGTGTTCATCAAGTTGGTCATGATGATGAGATCACTCCTAGTGTAGTGCCTACTGGTGTTAAAAATGATGGTGATGTAGCTCTACTTGAAGATTATAACTTGTATGATAACCCACTATGGAATGTTGAGAAAGAAGGTGATACTTGCTTTCAAGTTGTTACTTCTTCTTTGAGTGTCCCAATTCTTGATGGTGCTTAATGGTGTTCGTGACTCTAATAGTGAGCTTACATATGAGGATACTTTGAATGAAGTTATTTGCGTGACACCTTTTTATATTATCTAGTTGCATATGATGATGCTAGTACTTGTACTAAGGTCAAATCTTAAGTGGGAAGGGAACTTACTGGAGTATTTGGTTGTTCTCTTGACCAAGATGGGTAGATAATATTTCCTTTCGACCTCCCTAACCCTTTGAATATGTATGAGTCTGTCACAGTACAATCTTGGACTAGCCAAGTTCTAAGTGCTTCATGTGGAAGCTTGTCCTTCATGAGAATAGTTGATGCTTGACTATATCACAAGTTTGTGCATCCTTCGCATGTTGGTAGATTTGTTAACCTCTTGTGCTAACCCTCATACTATGAGGTCCTTGTTGTTGCTCGTCTTCCTAATGGTTTTACAAGGTTCGAACAAATCATTTTCAAGAAAAAGAGAATGATGCAACCCAAGTCTAATCAAAATCTTGGAATAAAAAGTTGAAGCTCAAGACCATATTAAAGTAGAAGTACAAGGCTCCACAGAAAAGACTACTCGGAGTGGGAGAAAGAGGCTATGAATGCAAATTGGCCATTCTTCAAATGCAAGCCTCTTGAATAAGAAGACTTAAAAAGATCATTAATTCATTAAGGATATTTTTGTAATAACAATCACAAGTCTTTAGTCTTAGCCTAGTCTAGTATAAATACTACATTATGTCATTTTATTAGGTAGATTATGTTGGATGATATGAATATTCACTTGAATAGCGATTCTCTTGAGAGAGTTAGGGCATAAGGCCATTGTTGCTTGATGTTACTTGATAGATTGCTTGCAAAAGGAAATCATTCATCTTCCGGGTTCATCTTATAGGTTAGGTGCTTAATTTGGTTCAATTAATTGGAGGTTTTAGCTTTCTATAGCTATTGCAGCCAATTAATTTTTATCTTATGTTTTGATTTTCTATCCTTTATCTTTTGTTTATTTGTTGTTTCTTGTTTGTTTGTTTTACACATTTCAATATTGTATCAAGATTCTAGATCCATTCTGAACTCTCTCACACTTCATCTCCTACAGAAAGCCAATTCAAGTGTACTAAGCACAGCACCTTGACCAAGAAATGGCTTCAGTATTTAATTTAAGGTAATAGATCAGAAATATGTTACCGTTGGGTTCTCAAAATTAACAACTAACCTGGCCATAACAAAAAGTTCTCTCACCATTCGAGAACCTTCTCCAATATATTTCTGCACTAGTTCGGAACCAGAGACCCTAATGAAGGTACAATCAGTGTGATGTGCAACTGCCCTAGCCAACAATGTTTTCCCAGTTCCTGGAGGTCCATAGAGCAGCACTCCCTGTCATTCATAAAAGAGGAATCCAATCAAGATCTTTATTGGTGCTGATAATAAACTGAAGGAGAACTTCGTAAAGCTGAATATACCTTTGGTTGAGCTATTCCAAGAGACTCAAATAACTCAGGATGCTTTATAGGAAGCTCAATAACCTAATGCATAATAGATCCAAAGTTAAACAAATTATACAATTACTATAAAAGAAATTAAGAGATTGAGTTAACAAGACAGATCAAGAAAACACGAAATAAAAAAACAAATAGAGAAGATATGTACCTCTTTAATCTCCTTGATCTGCTGGTCAAGACCACCAATCATGTCATAAGTGGAATCTGGCACTTTCTCAACTTTCATGAGGTTGACCAATGGATCAACTTTGCTGGGCAAAATTAGATGAAGGACATAGCTATCATTGCGCAGGGCAACTCTAGTTGATGGAGTGATTTTTGTAATGTCAATATTTTTGCCAATATCGACAACATATTTGCCTTCAGGATGAACCTAGAGTATAATACAAAGATGAGTAATAAAAAAAAGGATGAGAAGAAAGGCATATTAAATAAAAACTAGAAATATATTATGGGAATACCATGGTTCAAATATTTGTACTAGAGAATCTTGTAAATTTAGAAACAACATAATCCAAATGAATTCATTGTATCACTTGTTGCTGAAAAACTAACAGAACTGTTCTCATAGTAAAGGACAAGTTGGAACCCATGACATGCTAAATGAGGGTAAAATGAAATTGACATCATAAATGGCAACACATAGAAAAACTGTCATTTTTTTGAGATAGCATAGACCAACTTTGTCATGTAAGCAAAGGAGTCAAAACTACCAGATACCCCAAAATGAAGAGTGCAAAACTAATAAGACAAGACAAAATTGGTAAATGGAAGAGTCTAATGGGTTCCATAACACGAAAGGTATTCAACTGAGAGGGTTAGCATAGTAGGCTATCAACCAAGGATACAAAGCTGAAAGTACAACATTCTACTACAGCATACAACCAATTCAACATTCTATTGCAGCCTGGTGACCAAATGAGACATGCTTTCTTACAGACTAAGTTGTGTGAACTCTTCACTTCCGATGCCACACCCGTGTCGATACGACATAGGTGTGGGATCCATAACGGATATGGTCAATCGATTTGTCTACTGTGACCAAAATCAATCAAGAATTTTGATACAGATACGTTGGTTTCTGAAATCAAAACAAAAGCTAGGGTGAAATCATAATTAGGCATATGTTTTTTATCGTTAGAAGATATTTGTATTAAAAAGTCCGCAACCACATACATTTGTACTTGTATAATTACAAATTCAAACTTGCTCTAAAAAATTTGTACATTCCTTTCAAATAGTCCACCATTATTTAGGCATATTTTATAATTGTATTTAAGATATTTAACTATTTTAAGTCAAATCCCCGCACTCGTATCAATACCTAAACCCGTACCCTGCATCTTAAAATTTAGGTCATGAAGGATCTGACCTCTAGATACGCACACATATTGGACACCCGCACCCCAGTAACTTAGTTACAAATGGGTACGAAAATTTAATAAGGAATTCAATGATAACTAAAAAGATGTGGATACACTTACTTTGACTAGAACCTTTGACTTCCCCATTACTTTAACAACTTCACCAACATATGATCCAGGCTCCTGAAGCAATTGTAATTCCTCTTTGAGCATTCTCACTGCAAAAATAGACATTAAGGAGAATTTTATGAGCCCATACACGATTCAAATTACAATTGAAAAAATAAAGTAGAAAATGCCATTGGTCATGAAGACACAATTTTAGTACATTCCTCAGCAAGAGTAGAACAAATGTGAGAGAAACACCATGATCGATTTATTCAAGAAACACTAAAACTTTAATTAAGTTAACAAGATCCCTACACCAATGAAAACCAGGCAAAAAATAATGAACCTGTGGTCCATAACACATGATATGTTTGGGAAACCAAACCATTACAACCTCTACTCAGTAACTATTTCTCTTCCCTTTATCGACCTAAGCTTTGGATGGTCAGAGTTACCTGCTAGAAGAAGATGGTAGGTATTCAATCGAATAGTTGAAGAGTATGCCAGCTGGGTTATTAACCTCATAAAAGGCAAAGAAATGTTGGGTCTCTATGCATTCTAACATATTTAAGTAAGAAAATTCATTAAGTAACACCACAGAAGAGGAATGGACTCTCTACTCACCTCTCATGTTGGACTATCATAATGGTACAACAATTCTTTATGGTGATCGATGGCACGACATTAGTTTCGGTTCTAAAAATTGAACCCTTTTACCTTCAATCTATTATCAATTCAATTTCTTAAGTTCAATATTTTAGCAGCCTTCTCACACTAAGATCTCTGTATCAAAGAAGGGAACTTTACCTCAAATACTGGACCATAAACAACATGAAAAAGTAGTACATAACCAAGAAACTGATTAAGACTAGGGTTTCACTATAACGTGAAAAATGTTCCCTTAAGAAGTTAGGTTTTCCAGATTTAGTTAATCAGACCTTTAGAATTGAGTTCGTTCCTCTGGGCTTCAAGGCGATTAAGATTGTGAGTCTTTACGCGGACTTGGAGCTGGAGATCATGGATGTGCTGCATATAGTACTGTCTCAGCCCTTCCCCTTGCTTTGTTGGTTTCGCCGAACAGGCTTCCTCTCTCTCCATATCGCTCCTGCTCTTCTCAACATCAACTGACGCCATTTTTGCAGATAGGTTTTGAAGAAATCGCAGTGATTAGCGTTGTCCGGAGGGTTTGGGAGTGAAAGAAGAATATAGCAGCAACTAGAATTTCCCCATCGGTTTTGGGCTTTTAAAGCTACGTTTCTTGTTGGCAGGGAAAACAATACATAGGGATGGCAATGGGGGTGTAGGGTGTGGATTTGGTTTTATGTATTATTGATTTTTTATTTTTAAAATATGTTAAATTAATAATTAAATCAATAAGATGTTTTTATCGGTTCTCGGTTTATTAGTTTTGAATCTTTAACGGTTCGGTTTAACCAATAAAAAAATGTTTATAAAATAAATATACGACTTCTCTAACAATTTAACACAACTCATAAAAAAACAGTAATAACTAACATGAAAAGAACTATTACAAGTGTAACACAAAGAGAAATTAAGAGGAATATAATTCTTACTTTAAGTTTTGACGTTTTGTATAATGTGAAGTTTCAAACTCAAAGTCACTGTGAAGGTAAATTGCAGGCTAAAGGACAATGCACTACCTAGTAAGGTATTTAGATTAATATTTAATATTTATGTATGGGTAAAGTAGTAAATTGCTACAGTTTTATTGGGTTGTCGGTCTACCCAATAACCCAATATTAAAAACCAAAACCGAACCGAAAACCTGATAGGTTTTTTTTTATAAAACCATTAAAAATGTTAATCAAATAACAATAAACCAATAGCACTTTTTCGGTTTGATTTGTCGGTCGATTCGATTTTTGCACACTCCTAATGTGGCGAGCGGGGAGGTTCGGAGCAGGTTGAGTTCAGCCCACAATTTTTTGTAAATCACCCTCATATGACAGTTTTTTCATTTTCGATCCGTCCCGCTTCACATAAATCCGTCCCACATAATTTTTTAGGTTTTTTTCTTTTTTAATCAAGTTTAATATGAAAAAAAAATCATTTTTTAAATTTTTCGCTAATTAACATTTCAACAACTAACAATTTATTGGACACGTCTAGTTTAAATTTTAAAAAAAGAGTTCAAATTAAAGTCAAAGTTTAATATAAAAAGTTTCATCCTTGATTTTTTTACTAATTACAAAGATTTAATTCTATTTGGTACCTTAAACTCGCAACCAGCCCCACCTGACATTAATTTTAAAAATATTTAACTTTAAACCTATCTCGTCTCATCTCGTCTCGTCCCATTGTCATCTCTACTATTTCAACTTGTTTGGATGGTTGTTACACGGGCGCCTGTTTGGAGAGATTGCGCTAATTATACACTTTAGGGTATTTTTGGTACCGAAGAAAATATTTTACTGAAAAAAAGTAAATTTCTTACTTATTTTTTAATATTTGACAAATAAGCAAGAAAATATTATTCATGTTATAAAATGTCCCTCTAGAATATTATATTTAGTGTGAGTGTAGTCAGTAAAAACCCAACGAAGAGTCAGGGTTGAATCCCACAGGGAATGGTATATCATGGAGAATTCTTTATCGAGAGATTTGAACTTTAAATTAGTTTGTTTGGAATAGTAAGAACATATGGTACCACCAACTTAATATAAAGCTTTGTTGTCAATTATCGCAATTAAACTAAAATTTGAACGAAATCAAGAGTTAGCAAGCAATCTATGGGTGTGAGGATTGGATATCAATGTCATATAGGAGTAAATGTATTGCTCTATAGTGATGTGCATACATGAATAGGCTAAGTCATCTTCAATGACGCTAATCATCTTTCGATCTCAAAGCATATATGCCTAGAATTTCCTTTTGGTCTCATCTAATGCCAATTATAAACAACACATTACCTTACTCTATTCCCTCTTTCAAGAATAAGACAATTAGATCCGACCCATAACCTCTCTTTCAAGTAAGTCAAGGACATCAGACCTAAATTGCTAGTATTGAACTAATTACCCACTCTAATTAAACTCTTTCGAGCATCAACCAGATATCATAAGTAGGAATTAAGTTTGCAACTTTAACCCTTAAGTTAACCCCATGATAATTAGACCAAATTCATGCATGAACAACAACAAAACAGAGCATAGCACAATACCCACTACATTAAATTAACACCCAACCCCATTAGAGTACCTCTAGATCTTGCGGTTTTAGCCACCCATCACAAAAAAGTAAAGAAAGTATTTTCCATGAAATCTGCCATGGATAACTTGAAATCAAGCAATTAAGAGTAAGCCCACTTTGAATTTTAACTTCAAATTATCAAATTCAAGATTCAAATTGTAAAACCCAAGAAGGCTAGAAAAATGTTCTAAAAAGTAAAGTGTTCTCACTCAAAGCTCTTTCCTGAACTCAGTAGCTCAACTCTCTAATCAAACTCCCTCAAAACTCTATATTTGGGCTATTTATATTTTCCCAAAAATCTACTTCGCAACCAAATCGACGACATTAGTCGGGCTCGCCAAACTCACTCGGCGAATCACCCTTCGTTCCCCAGCTCGCCTTTGTGATGCTCTAGGCATCATGTGTTTGAACTTCAGTTGGCGAACTCAATTGATTCAACCTTTCTCATTCGGTGTATCGTCGAATACCACCTTAGTTCACTGTTCGAGCATTAAATCTTTGCCTTGCACATTGTCAATTTGGGCATGTGCTTCAGATCCGCCTTTCTCATTCGGTGTATCACTTTTTCTACTGGAGTTCGCCGACCTTTTTTGATAAACAAAAGTTTTATGCACTGTCAAATTGGGTGAAGTCTACATCAGTTGGCGATCCGCCATTCATGCTAGACGATCAACAACGTTCATTTTGCACTTCTTTTGCATTTTTGGCCATTATTTCAAGTTTTAGTCCATGCCTTGTCCAATTGTCTTCATAGTTTCAAATCATCAATATTTGATTAGAAAATGACAAAGTTAGGCATTGAGGACACTAATTATTGAGCTAAATTGACCTTAAATGAGTGCAAATCTACCACTCATCAACACCTCCAACTTAAATTTGTGAGTGTCCTCAAGTAAATCAAGAACACAATAAGTTCAATAAGGGTGTCTACAACAGTACTCAAAGAGAGTTAACATGCAAGCGCCATGGCAAGACTACTTTCAACAGTATGTTACCCTAAATCATGATAAAAAAAAGCTTCAAATTATGACTAGCTAGTCTCAACACAAGCTAGTCAAATTATGACTACTTTCAACAGTATGTTACCCTAAATTATGACTAGCTAGTCTCAACACAAGCTAGTCATAATTTGTGGGAAGAAAACTCAGCCAGTCAGGTCATCGTGCGTCGATTTCGATGACTTTCTAGGGCTGTTTTGTGTCAACCCCATTTTCGTCGGTATTTGTGTAGCACCGAGCTATCTTTCCAGTGACTACTTTTTCATATTCAATTTGTGTAGCACCTTGCCATCATTCCGGTGACTACTTTCTTATATCTAATTTGTGTAGCACCGTGCTATCTTTGCGGTGACTATTTTTTCATATTTAATTTGTGTAGCACCGTGCCATCTTTCCGGTGACTACTTTTTCATATTTAATTTGTGTAGCACCGTGTCATTCTTCCGGTGACTACCTTTTTTTTGCATATCTTATTTGTGTAGCACCGTGCATCTCTCCGGACTACTTTTCATATTTAATTTGCGTAGTACCGTGGATTTTTCCGAACACTTTTCATATTTGAGTTGCATAGCATCATGTGTCTTTTCAGTGACTCCGTAGATTTGATTTGCATAGTTCCATTCGACTTCCGGTGACTCCTCAAGTCTAATTTGCGTAGGGTTGTGCCATCATTCCAATCCTACCCGTATAATTTTTCTTTTTTAGTAGGGTTGTATAACAATGCGTTGGTATTGTAAGCGCAAGAAAGGAAGAAAGGACTCTAAACATTAGGTTCTTATTTTTTTATCTGTCATGAATCTATTTGGTATGGTGTATTCCATATTTAATATATAATGGGCACTCCCTTAACAATTGTTGATGCTCTCAGAACATGGAGGTTGAGCAGAATACGGAAGGAAGTTTTGGAATATGGCATCATTATGCATCTACTGGATGATGCGTAGAGAATGAAACAGGAGGAAGTTTGAAGGAGTTGACAGACCCATGTGGAAGATCGACAACTCTGTTTTCAAGATCCTTTTATCTGTAGATAGTGGATAGATTTTTAGAGTTTAACACTGAACATTTGTAACCATATAGTTTGACATCATCTTGGTGCACACTAGTGACATTTCATTGACTTTTCAACAGGAAAAAAACATAAATGAAGTACATAGATATCACTGAAAATTTGGTAAGAGTTAAGAGCTATGCTCCCTTGTTGTAGAGGTTGGCATTTCACTAATAACCAATATTTTTTTCTAAATTTTCAAATGAGAAACTAAAAAATAGAAAATACTGTTGTCCAAGGGTTAAAATTATAAAGGTTCCAAACTATGGTGTCCACTGAATTTCCACTAGCCCTCGGGGATTCGTGGTTATCAAAAGAAAAAAATCCAAATTCTGATAGCCTGTAGTACAAATTATAAAGTGTAATTCCAGTGACAAGGTTGAGGCTTAGCGAGGGTAGGTGCAAATGAAGCAGAATAGGGGCTTACCCTCTACACCCATTGCTTCCTGACAGTACGAGGTGGAGGAAGAATGGTCATGTACAGTGTGCTGCCTTCTCCCAGCACTTCTACAAAGAGGCTACATCTACGCCTTGAACCATGACTTATTGTCTCCAAAGGAATAACTTTGCCCCATTTCGCCTAAACTGGCCCTTGCACAAATGAAGAATACACACACACATGTTCATAACAGTAGAGAAACTAGTAATTAAATATGTTTATGGCCTCATACATTTGATGCAAGTAGTATTTGGTTTATTTTGTCTAATCAGGCAATGGCATAGGCCAGAAGCTAAATAAGGGGGATGATTCTCCTAGTGGATCAAAGGATGCACACACCGAATATGACAAAGAATTGTTCGCTGTCAGCATGAGAAGGTTCTTGTACATCCGCTGTTATGATAGTTTTGAATTTCTTGCTACTCTTAAGGTGAGTTAGAATGAGTACTAAGGTTTTAACTTCTACATTTTATCTTTTTTTTTTTGCTTCTGTGCTTTCCTACCTATCTTTTCTCTCTTTTAATAAGTCATCTTTCCTGTCAATATACCTATAGCTTTTGCTCCTTCAACCTTGTTAATGCTTTGTTAGATCTTGTTTTTTAATATTATTACTAGAACCAACACTCTAGACCATTTCTGTTATCTCTTTGAAGGTAGTGATGTAAATAAAGTGAGTGAATGTTTGATAGAGGTTGATATGGTTCTACGTTGACATTGTCTTGTCAAAATATATTGGTGTAAAACTTAGAAACTTGTACCCCCTTTCCATTTATCATAGATTTGTGAACTATTTTCATTTGAGGATGATAAATGTCATTATCTTAGATGTATATATATGAAATATCCTGAAGATAGGGGGTGGGGGGTGGAATGTTAACAATTGCATATTAAGGAAGCTTGGCAATGTTGAGCTCTATGGTTAAGAATATGAGATGTAGTCTGGCTATGTGGTTTTCATAATATGCATCATGCTCTAATTTTCGGAGCTGCATAAGGCTCAATGTCCATTTTAAAAAAAAACATGTTATCAGAGTTAGACATAGGTCAACATTAATCTCGAATTCAAGTCTCACCACCGTCATTTCTTAAAAGATGTCGATGTGCTTGACTCACCCTAAAGAATAGGGAGTGTTAGAGATATGATTAGGTAAGAAGAAGTGTATCCTTTCAACATTTTAAACTTTTAGACAAGCTGGTCGCGTAATTCAACATAATCCAACACTTTTCGCTGTGAATATATGTTGTTAATTTATTTTTATTTATCATTTTGTGTATTTCTACAATGTAGTCTTTTGATTGGATTAGTTTGTGAGATACTTTTTTTTATTTTTGAATATAAATAATTCAATTTATATACAAGTATGTCGCATATTCTTTCAATTTCATTTTTTTGCAGACGTTGCATTTCCAACTTCAAAAGGAAAAAGAGGCACATGGCAGTGGTGTTTATTTGCTTATGATTGACAGGTTTCTTCTAATGCTCTTCTTGATGTTGAATTTGGTGGTTTAGTTTCATACAAATAATAAAGAGACACTTGAAGTTTTAACAGTAGTATCATTTGCTGTGGAGGTCTTACATTGACTGCTCTAGCAAGTGCATACCATTGACGTCAAAACATTTGTGTGAACGTGTTCAAGAATGGGTGTAACTGTTTCTAGTTAATGGTGTAACTAAGTTCTGTAGTATATTAAGATATGTTGCTTCTTTTGTATGACCAGTATTGGAGCTTTTTATTGGATGGATCGTGCTTCACCATCTATACCGCCAGGGAGCAACAACAGGTTAGAGTCCACAATAATATCTTACATTTAAAGAGAGAAAATAAGTGAAAGATGCAGTTCAAAATGAACACCAAACAGAGGAGTTATGGAGAATCCTGAAAGTTAGTTCGTCTCCAAATACTTCCTGCAAGCACCTTACTTTATAGTATTTTTGTGGTGTTAGGAAAGCCTGCAGTTTCTGCTACCTATTTATTAGCTGGAAAAGGACCATTGCTGGTCAAACATTGTAAGTAGGTGATCAGAAATGCAATTGTCTTGCTTAAGATATTTGCATTCTACTCTCTATCCTCAAAAAAAGATATTTGCATTCTACTCTCTATGGATCTTTTTTTCCTTGGATGAGCTGGGAAAGTACCCTTGGATTCATCTTAACAGATGAACCTATTCTTGGTCATGCTAAAATGCTGCATGTGTTACACTAAACTCACATGTAAGATAAATAGTTCTTGGAAGCCTGCCTCAGCCCTTGGAGAGTGCTTAAATGTTTTGAAATATACTTATCAGTTTTAGAGTTGTGCTTCTTAAGAGCATTTTTTCTGCAGGCATGAGCACATTAATGTAGTCTTTTAGAGATGTAACGGTTGCAGTTCAATTGTCTGTTTCTTTCTTTTTGTTGTTTAGCCCCACCATTTTGAATAAACCCCAGTTGTGCAGTTGTCATTTGTTTTCCTTCTTTCTCCTTATAAAAATGACGAGTTTCCTTCTGTTTGCTTTCATCTGTTCATGTTTTTCACCTAGCACTCCTTATGTTAACACTTGGTTTGGTTCTTAGGAGAGAGAAGGATTCAGTATGTTCCTTTGCTTTCTGTATAGGTTGCACCATTCTTTTTGCTTCTTATTCTCAAATTGAGTATTTTAGCATTACGTATTTGTCTTATTACCAGGAGAAGTCTCTCTTTGCAAAGTGTGTCAGACATTGCCGTTCAAGAGATCCAGAAGATTCTTGTGGTGCATCCGATGCTTGTTCTAACTACAAAAGCAGCAAGTTTACAGGATAAATTTACATCTCGCGAAGTTATTAGGTTGGATTCAGTTCATTTCCTTTGTCCAAAATAAATCTTGTATTGCACATTACTAAAATCTGGTTACAAATTACCAGAAAAATATGATAAGTATCCTGTGTAGAGAATGTGGTGGAAAAATTAAAGCTCAATATGTGTTGTCCGTCTGTAAATATGCCCTGGTTTAATTCCATATTCTGTGCTCATTGCTTTGGACAGTTTGTGTTCTGATTGACTGATTTTTAAACTAAACAAGTAATGTAACATATACAAGGACTTTATGTGTTTGATCATCAATAGTGGTTACGAGCTTGTACACCCTTGAACTGTTCAGTTGTTCCAAAGATCATTTCTTGATGATTTTAAGCTGCTTAATCGTACAAATAGTGCTTTTTTCACATTCATTATTTTCTAATTTGGAACCATTCAAAACAGGAGTAGTACTAATGCTCAACTGTATCGGGAGTATATGCCTTCAGTATGGCAGGTAACCATGATATATATATGAAAACTTTGAGTATAGCCGGCGTATTCTTTTTTATTGGTGTTGTTCTTCTTTAGGTAATGAGAATAAGTATCCATTGTGTTTCATAAAACTAATCAAAGAATGCATGAATTCAATTATTGTAACTAAATTTTAGTACAGCCACTTCTCTCTATAGTAGAGGATTCTCTTGCATCTGCTTTCTCCATATCAGAGAAGGGAATTCTAGGGATGGTTTACAGATATCTTTTCATAGCTAAAAAAATTATTTGTTGGGTATCTTGTTCAATTACACTAAACTATTTCTTTTAAATTATAGTGATTTGTTAATGGAGATGAACTGCGAAAAGTGGAGGACGAACCATCAGTCCATTATGATTGAAGTGTTGGAAAGGAATGTGGACCTAAAATCAATTTAGCAAAATACAGAACATAATGGAAATAAAAAACTCAAATAGACGATATATATTAGATTCAATATTTGCTAGGAACATTTTTATTTTTATTTTTAAAAAAAAAAAACAAATTTTGCATGCTAATGGGAGTGAAAGAAGAATATAGCAGCAATTGGAATTTCCCACCATCCATCCTTTAAAGGGACGATGTGGGACTTTTCATACACCACTCATGCCTAGGGCTGGACATTTGGTGCGTAAACAATTTAATATGGGGCCCAACATTGGAAATGAGAATTGAAATAGGTCCTGTCCTGATAATATCATGTAAAGAAATGGATTTTGGGCATAACTCAACCTCAAGGTGAGGATTGCCCAAGCCATATTAAAGAGACCGCTCATCCCTTAAAGGGACAATGTGGGGATCTTCACAACCTCAATGTGTGTCGTGTTAATATCTCACAAATATAGTGTAGGGTGGAAAGACTATTATAATGAAAATGTTGTGCTAAAGGAACAAAATCCAGAAACTAAAACTGAAACAATCAAAGAAAGGTGGAGTTTCTGCCGAAATTGGTGGTTCTTGCAAGTGATGATTTATTACGAATGAGATGGAAATGTTCCACTATTGACCTTGAATGTTGGAAAGTCGTACATGATTTATGAATGAGATTGTCAGTAACTTCCCTTTCTCCTGGTATGAATAAAGTGTGAACTGTGATGTATAGATGTGAAATAGGTAACTGAGAGGCACTATAGCCATATAGGAGTAGTGGCATATTTCATAACACCTCTCTGGTTGAATATCAAAACAAATGATAATACATGGTATGTTGATTCAGGGAGCAGCAATTTAGTTTGATAATTAATGTATTGTGGCTTTCCGGATGAAGTCGGACATTGAGACTTTTTATGCTGGCAAAAGTTTTGTTTATGAAATGCTTTTACAAAAACTAAACGTGGAAAACGTGTATTTCTCTCATGTGTGGTTTGCGAGCTATTGCATACGAGTGGGGGTTTTACCCTGTGCGCATTCAAATGGTAGCGGCTGCAGGTTTCCCTTGTCATAAAAAAAAACATGTGTAATTTCTCTTGTAGACGAACGTCTGAGTACTTGGTGTATTTTCCCTTTTATGTTTTGACCTTAAACATCAGGACTCGTGAACTTTTGAAATTAGTGCTCCATAAATAGATGTTTTTTCATTTCGTCAAAAATCGATTTTTACGGTATAGAGCTTATGACCTCCCCGCATATGCCTTCCGGTTACCGCCTTTGACAAGACTCCCAGTTTTCATTTTTGTTTTTTTTGAAGTTACAGTTTTATTAACAATATGAGCATAATGAGGCACACCTGTATACAAGAAGTATACCAAAAGGTAGAAAACCTACAAAAAGATATGGTTTTCTACGAACGACACCCAATCTATGTATAAATGAATGTGGGAGATTTGACAGGAAAACCACATTTATATAACTGTTTTTCTTCAGTTGAACATTGGACTTTTAAGGGATTTATTAACCTTAATAATCCTTTCTGGTTGTTGCAGTCCTTTGTTTCACACAGAATATTTGTGCGCCCAGGTATGGCTCGAAATCATTAGGCCAAGACCATTTCTTGCTCTTATCATGAATAAAGAAAATTGGCTTTCTCATTATTCTGCAGATGATAGTAAATATCAAAAGCAGCCCATCTATTTATCCGAATGGCTGTTGCCATCCTTGAAGTTGTCAGACAAATCACAATCAATGATGTATGTGCAATATAAGATTTGGGTTTTTAAAATGTTCCATCTGTATTGAAGAAGTCATTCTCCTGCTTCACTGATGTGCTTGCCTCAACATGTAGGATGGTGCATACATTGTATCGTGAAATTCAAATGATTTTGGACTGGCTTTTCTCAACCTGAGGTCAAGCATTTAAACTGAAGCCCAAAATGAAATTCCTAAAATGTCACTTGAAAGAATTCATGTTATGAGGTGGTTGCTGGGAACAAAATACTATTTTGGAAGGATCTAGTTGGACAAGAAGTTTTAATGCAAGCTCTCCCTGATCTGGCCTATATATGCACTAACCTTGAGGTTACAGTGGCTGATAGCTGGTCCCCACAGGGATGGAACTTCTTCTTCAGGAGGCATCTTAATGACTGGGAAGTAGGCAGGTTTGTGGAGCTATTGCAGATGATTGATGGTTTCAAAAGCACTACTGTAGAGGATGACACTTTTAGATGGGAACATGACAAGGATGGCAAGTTCTCTGTAGGTGGAATTTATAAGGCTCATCAGTAGATTGACTACGAGGCCGTCAAGTGCTTTGTTTGGTTAGTAATCACGAAAGCTTGCCTCACGCGTGAGATCCTGCAGAAAAAGGGATTGCCAATTGTGTCCAGATGCATGTTATGTAGTGACGCTAGAGAGACAAATAATCATATGTTCCTCCATTGTAAAGTCACATCTCAGCTTTGGACTATGTTCCTCAGTTTAACAGAGACAAAATGGTCAATGCCAGGGCACACAGCAGACTTGTTAAGTTGCTGGATTAGGAGAGGGGGAAACAAGACACGGAAGAAGTGGTGGAGAATAATCCCACACTGTATCTGGTGGACTATCCGGAGGGAGAGGAATGGAAGAAACTTTGAAGATAGATTCAACAACATTCAGAAAATCAAAGAGAGCTGCATAACAACTTTCTACTTTTGGTGTAAAGAACATTGTATAGAAAATGCTGAACAATTAGTAGATCTTTTAGGATTATTGTAATTAGTCTCTTGTTCTAGCTTGTTACTACCTTTTTGGAGGTCTCCAGCATACCTTAATGCTGAGGAATACAACATTACCAGTTTTTAAAAAAAAGTTATTTTTGTTCATGTCCCTCTCTCTTCATATATACTTGGTTTTGTGTGGATATATTTTATTCAATTACTCTGTGGCATGCTAAAGGAATTGAGATGCAAACATGGAAGCTTTCTACCTATTCAGATTCTAATGAGATGCATACCATATTGAGACATGCTCGGCATGAAATGAACCTGGAAGGGAAGCCACAGGAGCAGGAATGGAGAGAAAGCGAAAGAGGAAAGGTGTTTTCCCATTCTATTGATCAATTCAGAGTTGGTCCAAATTTTAGAGTGATGTGAAAGGTGATTTGTAGGACACAAAAGTCTTTGCAAGTTCTGGGCAACCTGAGAGATGATGACATCCGTATACTTTCCACCAGCCAATGTAAATGACAACCAAAGCAAGAAAGAAAAGATGATAATAGTTCTCACATAACTTGATGATTCTTTGAGATATTTCCTGAGTTTGTGACACAAATCTGGAGAAGAGGAAAAACTGGACAGTGAAGCAGAAGCTGGAGAAAGAAGTTAAAGCTGGATTTTTTCTAATTGGCAATCTTTGGTGTTGCTGTTGCGATGTTTTGTACATTAAGATAATAACTAGGAATGGCAATAAGTTTTGTTGGGGAGTTCTTAGGATATATGCTGTGTTTTTAGATAAATTAATGAAATGACTCTCCAGAATAGCTGTTGAAAGCTTCGTTGGCTCGACTCAATGACCAAAATGGTCATTCGGAAAAAACTTACTCGTACCTGGTATTTCCACCAAGTAAATGAATGCAAGACATGTATTTTAGTCCTATGGTTAAAATTCTTTATTTTCTGTAAGCTGATGGCTGATTTCTTTTTAGAGAGAGTTAGAAGTAGATTAGTTTAATCTTTTAAACTTTTCATATACTCGAGACAATCTGGTTATGTTGTTGCTTTTACAATAGCAAATCCCAAAATCTGAAAATAGTATAACGAAGGACAAAGTTAACTAATAAATGAATCCAAACGATCATCATAATTTACACAGAAATTTTAGTAACATGGTTTTGCTAAATGAAAAATAATCCAAATTGTTTCAAATCAACTATTAATTTGATATCTGAGCCTGAAAATTTTGGATTCAACTCAAACCTTCAAATATCAATAAATCCATTTGGTCTTCTCCTACAAACCAACTCAATAAAACACAAATTTCTTCTATCAAACCAGTCTATGAAATTCTCTAGATATAGAACAAATTTCAACCTCATCTGATCGAAATTTATTAACGGATATAGCATTCGACTTCTCGATTCTAAAATTAGCCAAAAGAAGAAAAAAAAGGCGTGTAGGGTAGGGTGGGGTGGGGTGAGGGGGAGGGTACTATTGTTCAACAACCATAAAAGCTTTGAGAAGCCTTTTACATAGCAGATGAACCTCCAAAAAACTTCTTTTCCTTCAAACTTTCAACAGTTTCTTTGATGCTTTCTTCAAGGGTAGTAAATTCAACACCCAAGCTTTTTGCCTTTTCCCTTGATACTTGATAGTTTTGCATCAATGGGTTGTCATCAGCACACCTACAAAGGTTATTTAGAAAAAATGCAGTTCAAACAATTTCAGTGAAAAGCTAATAGTTCCATATATTAACATAATCCCGAGTAAAAATGTAGCGACCCTAAGAATTTCGTTTGGAGGTGATAAATGTTAACTAATATATAAAGAATTGTTTGGCATGTCAAAGATGGATAACAAACTAGTGCAATATCAGTTGGACGTGATAGCAAGTGTACGAGATGTATTATTTGAAGTGATTTAGGGTCTAAGGAGAATCCTAGGGCGAAGTAAAGTTGGAAACTACATGACAAACTAAAGATTCAAATGAGCATGCACTAGGACCAAGTGACCAACTTCAAACGATCATCACTCCCTATCTATATCGAGTTAGGCTGATAAGATATCAAATAAAAGCTCTTTGAGTTGTAAAATAAGAATGACTTTATTATGGTATAAAGTATTACAATTTCATAGAGGAAAGAAAGAAAAAACAGTTTTAGAATTATTCAGTATTTTTATCATCTTGCATTCTAAGTGTTCTCTAAGAACTGCATTGGATTGCGTAGGGTTTCTCATATTAAGGAGGAGTAGATAAGCCAAGAAGGTTTGCTCGTAAGGCACCGGGTCTTGGCTCGTCTTTATCAGAAATTGGGTCCTCCCCCTTTTTGTTACCTTTTCTTGTGGTTACAATGTTTCCTTTAAAGATCAGGAGGACTTATTTAGAATCACTAGCAAGGCTAGTCCAACCAAGAAAGAAAAGGGAATCTATGGGCATTGTCTGGTTCAAGTTAGTGGTTTGCAAACACTTGGATATAAGTTGCATATAATCAAAGAGCATTCAATCTATGAATGACTCGGAGTGGATAATCAAAGAAGGTTCACTATTAGGAGATTGAAACCACACTATGATCAAATTTGACAGTATATTGCTCTTCACATATTTTAAGATTTCATTCAGAATAACACTAGCTTTTCCATCGTCTCTTGTGCTCTCTCTCTCTCTCACACACACGCGCGCGCGCGCACACAGTGAACAAGAATGAATCTACACATTCAACATAAAACACTATCAACATATTCATCTAACCACATAACAACATTTGTGTGATCAAAGCTCAATATAGAAGTTTCATCAAAGCAAAACATCGACTTATTTTTCATATGAATACTTACTTTTCTGGAAGTTGCATAGTAGGATAAAGGTCACGCAATATCTTCAATATATCAGAATAGTGTGCAACTCTCTCAACCATTAAGTATCTCCCATTAGCTGAAGGGTTCTCAAATGCGAGAATATGTGCATTTGCAACATCTTTCACGTTAACCCACCCAAAAGAGGAATTTGGGTATGTCTCAGCACCTACATAGCATGGAAAAATGAACATTCAAAATGATGAAAAGAATGGTTAACGTCCTTGTGAACGAACAGATTTCAATATCATATGAAAAAAGGGTAAAGAAAAGACGCAAGTTCCTGACCTATTAATCATTTCCATCATTTATATCTTCAACCTCAATTGTTCTGTTTAGTTTAGTCTTTGATTGAAATTTAAACATATATAGGTAAATTACATAAGAAGTCTTCTAAGCTTAAAGGAAAAAAAAACTAAATTGCTCTCCCATCTAGTTTGACTAATACAAGAGACTTCACCTTTAGTTCAATAAGCATATCACCCAACCAACATCTTTTACATAAACTGTAGTTACCATAGACCCACCTGTTGTCTAGCCCCTAACCCACGTATCCTCCACATTCAGGCCAAAGAAACAGGAGAACATTCAACTAGAACAAAAAGACAAACAGGACCAGTACACTGGATGAATTACTCTCGAATTTAACCCCATCAGTATATGCCATAAGAGAGTGGATGTTCTCGTCATATTCATATTAGGAGGATGATCCATCTAGTTTAGTAAAATTATTTGGAGAAATCTAACTAGGTTGACCAGAAAGAAGAAGATTTTTTGCCTTGACCGTACAAATGAGCTTCTCTTTAGAACTGATTATGGTGGCCTTAGTATTCGTCTACTTATGTTGACCATAAAACAAAAAATTACAGCATATATGTTCTGCCTTCTTGGTAGTCCACATGGCCTTGGTATTCCATTTGTTAGATTTAAACAATTCCAAGCCATTTGACCTCACCAGATTGAGGTAAAGACCTAACTAATTTAAGTTTAAAAACATACCATTTACCAAGCTCAAGACTGCAGCAGAACTGGTATTAAGTGTAGGCTGTAACAAAGGACCAATAACCATAGCAGGGTTTACTACAACCATATCAATGCCTTTCTCCTTCACAAACTTCCACGCAGCATCCTCAGCCAATGTCTTTGAGAGGACATACCAGAGCTAAAAGGAAACAGGAGAAAATAGAGAGATGTTAACAATTGAAATCTAGGAAAGAAAAAATGGGATGTGAGTGCTTTATTTACACATGCAAACAAACGAGGCCACTTACAGGACACATTGCAACTAATTTCATAGCTTTCAATAATAATAGATCAATGTCACATATAAAACAGATGATATAAGCGACAAAGATCAGATGATTCATTAAACTTGAAAAGTTACTGAAACTGCCTTGCTTTAAAACACGCCTCTCCAAAAAAAATGTGTCTTCCTAATTCTACACCAACCAGAGAAGTGCTTGGATGAAAACCTAAAAAGTAAGAAATTATCAGAACTTAAGTTGACATAACTGCAAAAAGAGAAACTTATGATATTAATAAGAAATAGTGCAGTGACTAAAAGCACTTGGAAATTCTTTAAATTGGATCAGCTAGTCATGTTGTCAAGAACCACGGTTAATGAGCTCTTGTTGACCTTAAAATAAGAGAAATGTGTCTGTTCCTTCTTACATCCATACCAAAACCAAACCACGATAAAAGTAACTTTAAGCAAAGTGCATCTAATTCATCACAAATCTTGATAGCACTTATACAGAGTATATTTTGTTACAAATGTTTTAGGTAACATCTCCGGCTCCTATTTTAAATTTTTTGTAGATCCCTAGCCTTCCCAGCTCCCACATTTATGCAACAGTATTACACTTTAATTAGTCAAGACAGACATTGACCACAAATATTATAACACATACAGTAATGGTAAGACTAGCCAGAAGAATACCTCAATACTAGCTATCTCTATGGGTAATACCTTCATTTGTCTTTGAATGTGCTCAAAAAGAAAGAAGAGAAAAATATATGCACACCTGTTTTTCTTTGCAGTAGTCTGGACTGGTCCACCAGCTCTCATCAACCACAACCTCAGGTGTCCGAGGCTGACCACTATAAGCAACTGCAGCTATGGAAGATGTTAAAACAACTCGTTTTACTGATGGTGCTTTGGCACATGAACCAAGAAGATTGAGTGTTCCCTTAACAGCAGGATCAAGTAATTCGGCCTGAAATATGGCAAGACGTAGAGTTGATTTGAAACGGGAACCAACTCTAGAAGGACAAACAAGCTAACTTACTTTGAGTACCATTGAAAGCAAGTCGGATGTCAGTTTCGTAAAATGGCTACCATTAACATTATACACATCATTTTCTAGAGAACGTGATTAATCTTATGTGTGACTACCAAATGTGAACTATATCAACTAGTAAAAGTCCATAAACAAGATCCATAATAAGATTACAAAATTCCTAAGCTTCATAATTACACATCAAGTACAATGAAAGGAGAAAATAGTTATTCCAATAGCTGTATGCTATAATTTAATTATCCTCTCATGATGTTCAAGCAACGATCGCAACTTTTCCATTAAGGAGGTGATCCCTACTCACTGATAACTTTCCTCAACCAACCATAACCGTATAGTTTTATAACCACTAGACATGAGTTGATCTAAAGCAGAGAGAGGACTGTCAAGGAGAATTTATCTTCCAGATAAAATTCAAAATTTTCTCACACTATTTCTATTAAGTACAATATATTAATTTGAGAATTTCACTCTAGTAGGATGTAACAACTAACTTAATTTACAAGAGGGGAGAAGAAACAAGATGAAAGGATTTCTTGAAACAAAACTGTTACAGTTTTCGAGTTTCGATCATAGTCTTTTTTTTTATACAATCTTAGATTTTATTTACTAAACCGACAAGCATCCAGAAAGAACTTGAAAGAAGAAGAATATATAGTGAAACTTCAATCGGAAAAAGAGAAAGAACGAAATACAAGTGTGACCAGGCAAATGGAAAAAATAACCAGGAGCAGAGTAAATGAAATGTAAGTTATATAGTATCTGATTCAAAGAAACAGGAAAGATGCTATGGTTCATCAGCATAGCATCTAGCTCCTTTAATGTACCAGAAGGTTCATTTGTCACTTGTGTTATCCGAAACAGAAGACTGTCCTGTCTTTGATGAATAGCAAATGAAATTGAGTTTGTCATAACTAAGGTTACTTGATATTAAGCTAATAAAGATGCTGGCCGCAATACTTTTATCAATACATAGAAACTGCCGTTATACTTTGGACTTCTTTCGGCACTACCTATAATGAACGTAAGCAGTTCAAAATCAGATTTACGAGAACGGAAAGGACCTGTGGGTCTGTAACGGAGTAGTAAAAAGGAGACGCTGTATGGAATACACCTTCACATCCATCAACCACAGCATCAAATGAACCTTCTTCTAACAGGTTTGCTTTGAACAAGTGAAGCCTCTCCTTGGCCCCACCAAGAGAAAGCAAGTGCTGTGTTTTCTTGGGATCATCTGCACGAAAAAATCACAATGCATTCAACATATAAGCAGTAAACATGACCTTATAGCACGGGCAAAGAATGAAATATCTAGTTTTTCCGTTGTCCAAATTATAAAATAAGCGGAGAGCTGAAAGTTCAAGTCCCAATGATGAGCGAAACAAGATCAACCTTAGGATATTTTTTCTTTACCACACTCTGACTCAATTTATTTAATAAGTGTGCTAAAAGGAGAAAATACCACTCTAAATGACATGGTGGGATTGTCTCAAAAGATCTAAAATCTCTCTAAATCAATACAGACATAGCTAAGAACACAATATAATGGAAGAAAGGGATCTGCATAGGCACCATATCACTTAGTTCAGAGCGAGGCATGGTTAATTGATTAACTGTAACCTACTCTGGAACTGCTTTGCGAGTTGGTTTGCTCTGAGATGTAGTTTTACTTGACGTCAAAAGATTATCTATTGAGTATAAAGTCTCAAAGTAAAGAATTAAAAAAAGAAAAGGGAGGGTATGAATCTAGAGGTTGCATCCTTCATAATCTAAATGTAAAAAATTCGGGGGTATGAATCTAGGTACAGATATGGGTGCGGGGATTCGGCTAAACTAATGAGAACTCTCAGTAAATGAGTTTGCTTCTGCCCAACCAGGTTGATTTTCTCATTTCCCGTGAGAATGAATACATGAATGGTGGCTTTACATGGCAAAGTCAGTCCACCATAATCACAACATCACTTGTATAGCAAATTGATAATCTGTTGTGATTATGGTGAACTAGAAAAGTCAGTTCACCATAATCACAACCACCATTCCACATACCAAACCACCCCTAATAGTTTAAGCTTTTAGATAAGACGATCAACATAATCCAACAAACAATCAAGCATATGATCTTCATAACCTAAAATTCCAAGATCCAAACAACCCAACACCATCATAAACACAACATATCAATTACATGACACAAACAAACCAACTTTTTTCTACCATTTTTTGCAAAAATCAAATCCAAGAATCAATACCCACAAAAAAAAAATCACAAACCCATATCCCCATTTTCCCATCAAATGAATCCAAACCCAAATAACCCAGAAAAAAAACACTCATTTTCCAAGTATATCAACTGCATGGCACACACAAACCAACATTTTTTTTTCAAAATTCAAATCCAAGAATCAATACCCACAAAAAAAATCACAAACCCATATCCCCATTTCCCCATCAAATGAATCCAAACCCAAATAACCCACAAAAAAACCGCATTTTCCGAAAATAAAAAGAGAAAAAAGGTACAAACTTGGATCACGAACAGAAGCCTTCACAGTGTAACCACGATGTAGCAAGAATTTGACTAGCCATGAAGCTATGTAACCTGAAGCTCCTGTTACACACACTGTTTTCGCTGTCAGACTCATTTCTCTCAGCAAAAAAACAAGCAGAAACAGAGAAAAAAACAAAGAAAATGTGCAGTATTATTATTTTGGTATATAAAGAATTGATGGGAAAAAAAAGTAATTTGAGAGATTATCCTTAAAACTAGCCATCTATATTGTTTCCTTTATTGGTAGGTATATTTGGTAGTTCCTGGGTAGGTAGTCCCAATTTATTTATTTATTCAAAAAATATATAGAGTATAATATAAAAATATTACGTTACGTAATTCAATAACTAATATTATACATAGTGTATCGACCATATCTAATAGTGTTTGTATACACATATAGGCTAAATCGAGTATAATATTATATATGGAACTATGTGGTATAAATATTTTCTTTTCAGTATACATAGACCTAAGTTTTTCTTGTTTTTTAACCAAGGCATGAGTTTCTTATTATATTGACATTATATGTAGCTAATTTCTTAAACTTGTTAGGATATTCTATTTAGATATTTGAAGTAAACTCTGTTTTAAGTAAATGTCTCAATTCCTAATAAAATGTTCATAATATATACTTTTGATTTCAAATTTGAAGAAAAGTTATACGTGTTTTCATTAGCCTATTAGATAGTTTAGTTAATTGTGTAAAATATATTAGGGTGATATCCAAAATTATAACAATTATAGGGTATTAAATTGTTAAGTCACAATACTATGAAGATTTGAGAGAGAGTGGAGTAGATGAGGGTAAGGAGAAGGGTGTCCATTTTCGAAAATCAGTTTGGTTTCATGCCGAGATGATGGACTACTGAAGCCATCCATCTTGTGCGGAGACTGGTGAAAAAATATAGGAAACGTAGGAGGGACCTACATATGGATCTTGAAAAGGCTATGGCAAAGTCCGAAGAGATGTTCTCTAAAGGTGCTTGGAGGCTATGACAAAGTCCCAAGAGATGGTTTGGGCATGTGAAGATTAGGTGCACAGATTCCCAATGAGGAGGTGCGAGATGTTGGTTGTAAGGGGTGGGCGAAGAGGTAGGGTAGGCCAAAAAAGTATTGGAGAGAAGTGATTAGATAAGACATGGTATAACTTCATATTACCGGGAACATGACCCTCATAGGAAGGAGGGGAGGTCACATATTAGGATAGAAGATTTGTTGGGATAGAATTTTGTCTTGCCTTGAGAAGGTTTCAACTTGCTAGGGTATGTCTTAGTACTAATTGTAACCTTGTAGTTTTTTTCATATGTAGTTATTGTTTCTTTTTTGTAAACTTTACACGACTTTCTTATTAGCTGCTATGTTTTCTTCATTTATTTCTTCTTTCTTTATTAAGATTTGATACACTTGACTGATGATCTTTCACATACAGTCTCTCTACCTCCATGAGATAGTAGTAAAGTTTGCATACACTCTATCTTTCCCAGACGCCACTTAATGAGATTTTACTGAGTATTTTATCATTGTTGTTCTGATTCACTTCTCCTTTTATTAGTTTGTGTTAGTTCCTCAATTATAGAAATAAATGAATCATTTATACTCTATCCGTCTTATTTTACTTGACCCCTATATCAAAAACAAATATTCATTTTACTTGCCCATTTTAACAAATTAATAGAATTTTTTTATTTTTGTTAGAAAAAATAAGACATGATACCAACGCTAGTAGAGATAGCAAGTACCCCATAAAATAATTGAAATACGCACATGTCGACCCGTACACCGTCATTATTAAAAAAAGAAAAAAAAACATCCTGGAACAGTTCTTGCACAAACATAAACAACAGGCAAAATGCAAATTTTAATAGTAAGTTGCTAAATATTATAACAAACACATGTGACTTCCAAATTCAAAAGATAACATGGCTTCAAAGTAGCTCTAATAGACCAAGACAATCGTCGATACAATGGACGCAAGCTATTTCTACTACATACATGAAGTGTTTACGCCATTAAAATTATTCTGGATCACAAATCAACACATAAGAAAAGTTTGTATTATATCAATCTATCCAAGCTATGGTGAACATTAAGGTACAGAAGAAGCATGCTCTCTACTTGCTATGCATCTCAATAAAATTTCTTCTCTTTCAAACTTTCAGCAGTTTCTTTGATGCTTTTAGCCAAGGGAGTGAATTCAACTCCCAATGTTTTGGCTTTTTCGACGTTAAACTGGTACTTTGGCGGAAATGGCTTATCATCAACACACCTGGAGAGTTTAATCGAAAAGTTTGAGCCAACTTTATGCATTTTGAGCATGCTCTAGTTACATTGTGAAACATCACTTCAAAATCAACGATGCACATTTCGTGAAGATGAAAAAATTATCGAAGATAGTACTATGTGTAGAAGAAACTTACTTTTCTGGGAGCTTCATTGTAGGGTAAAGCTCGCGTAATATCTGTGCTAACTCAGAGTAGTGTGCAACTGACTCAACCATTATATATCTACCATTAGCTGAAGGATTTTCAAATGCTAGAATATGCGCGAGGGCAACATCTTTAACATTAACCCATCCAGATGTAGTATTTGGGTATGTTTCAGAACCTGTAGTAAAGCAAAACGAAACTTTACCATGAATTCCAACACACTGTAGTAACATGAATAGAATAAAGGGAAAAAGGACAAATATACCCCTGAACTATCGTATATGGTATGCAGATACCCTCCGTGGGACATTGGTGCACCTGTCGTTCAAAAACTAGAGCATATACCCTTTATAATAACGAGCATACACGTGGCATAATCCTATCCACCGACCCGACATTTACTATCACTTACCAGAGGTAAGCCAGTGGTATGCAGAAACAAAGTTGATTTGTTATATTCATTCTCTTGAAGAGAAACTTTAGGAAAATGGTTAAGTAACTAATCGCGATCATTTTTTCTTTCTTTCTTTTTTCCCCCTCCAAAAATCATAACGGATGAGTCAAATATAAAACAACTAGGTTCAGATGACGAGATCAAAGACAAATGCTGTAAGATCAAGCATACCATTTAGCAATTGTAAGATGGCAGCACAAGTTGTATTAAGTGTTGGTTGTAACAAACTGCCTATAACCATTGTTGGGTTTATTGTAACCATATCGAAAGCTTTCTCTTTCACAAACTTCCACGCAGCATCCTCAGCCAATGTCTTCGAAAGTATATACCAGAGCTGGCAAAAGCAACAATAGATGGTCCACAATTAGCTCCAAAAGAGCTATCCCACAATCTGTAAAAATATGTTCTACTCTTATCTTATAAAGAAATAAAAACAAGAAAATGGCATACTCTAATACGATGGTGTTAGGTGATCGATTATGCCATATGTAAAAAATTTCTGCAAGAACAAACAGCTAACCTTACCTTACGGTCGTAGTCATCTAGAAGAATAGCGTATATAGATACTTACCAGAAAATAGCACATTAAAGTTCAAAAATATGTGAAATCTACGATAGAAATGATTGAGCACCAGTTCAGATGATTATAACGAGTATTTCTGATTTAAACGTTTTGACAAGAATTTGTAAGATGTAAACGAAACACTATACATAACTTCTTTGTAATTGTTAGAGTAAATGGAATTTTTAAGCTAAGGCACCTGTGATTCTCTGCAAAAGTCAGGATCTGACCACCATGTCTCATCAATCACCGTTTCAGGCGTTCTTGGCTTGCCATTGAAAGAAACTGCTGCAGTAGATGATGTCAAAACCACTCTTCTAACAGTTGGTGTCTTCGCAACTGATCCTAAAACATTAAGTGTCCCCTTCAGTGCAGGATCAATCAGTTCTGCCTGCACGTTAACAGTAAGGCTAATCCATTACATCAACAGATGGAAAACCAAAAACTAGAACAGAGAAATAGGGACTAACAGATCGAAGACCACTACAGCCAGCTTCATAGGTGAAAGTTTCTTACATTTAACTAGTAAAGGTGAACAACAGTAGAGTGCTACACCTCGCTTAAGGCATACTTTTCCTTGACAATGAGCCTCTTCTGAATAGACGGCACTAAACAATTGATATTTCATCTTATCAAAAAAAAAATAATCAGTTTCTTTGTTCATATATTTTTCATTCAATATCTGTATTTTTTTCTCCCTTTGTGCCTTTTTGCATTGAAGTCCACGTTTTATTCGCGCTTTGCACTTAACACCTCAATGGACTTTAGAGCTTTTTATGCGCTTTTTTGCTTTTGATAAGACTGCTATAGCTAATATAGCTTTGATAGCTCTTTCTCAACTATTTAACTCTCAAGTCCAATTGACATTTTAAGTCTTTCTGTGTCAATATACACTACGAAAAGAATTTACTAAGCGAATTCAGAGGCAACAGTTTTATCATGGAAACTGGAGCACTTTTCTCAGTATATTTTAGGTGAAGACATATCATGTAGACATTGACTAACTCGTGCATAAAATAGGAAGTAATCAAAAAATGGTACTCAGAAGAACAACCCCTTCATCTAGATAATATTTCTACGTCCCAATTTATGTAGTTCTACAACAAGACTAACTACGTAACTCCAAAGAGTAAGCTTGCAAAAGTAGACGTCAAAACCTATGTTGCTCGTACTGATCCTCCAAAATGCACTAGTTTTGAAGTATCCGGACATTTTTAGAGAGTCTTGGCAACATAGGTCAAAACCATATTAATCAGGAGAATGAGTGAGGAACCTGTGGATCTTTGACTTCAAAGTAACAAGGAGATGCTGTATGAAATACACCTTCACAGCCATCAACAACAGCATCAAAGGAACCTTCTTCCAGCAGGCTTGCTTTGAACAAGTGGAGTCTCTCCTTGGCTCCATCAAGAGATGTCAAGTGATCTGTCTTTTTTGGATCATCTACAGGCGGATTTGAATATAAAAAAAAAATAGATTATTACATTAATATAACACAATAGAAAAGCACTAAGGAGATTGTTGGCTAAGTTTATAAGTCGCCAAACTAGCTTATAAACACTTTGGTTTATTGATTCTGATTTGTTACAGATTTTATTTTATTTACTAGTTTTAACTTTCTGATTTCGGAAATATGCTTTAAACGTTGTTGTTTCTTACGAAGTACTACAAAGTTATTGTTATAAGACCATCTCAAACTCCTCTCGGTTTTACTTTTCACTCTCTATAA